GCCACATTTCTTCCTCGAAGACGATGGGTCCCCACTATCCTTCCAGTTTTTAATAATGCGTTGGACAGTTCTTAACCCAATTTTAGTAGTTTCTGCAATCTCCTTAGATGTTTTCTCTGCTTGATGCATGCCAATGATTTGACCCTTCTCAAACAGACTAACATCTTTTCCACGACCACGGGATGTGTCTTTTGACATGGTTGTTTAGGAAATGAGAAGCAACTCATTGCACTAGTTGGGGTTAAATAACTTGTTGCCAGCTGAAAGATAATCGCCCATGCAGTAATTATCCAATAGGAGGCTTCTACCTATTTGCTTAGTTAAATCCAGGTGGCGACTTTTTTTTTGGCCAGGCAGTGTATTTTCACAAGCAGTTTATTAAAACGTAAAATACCATTTTGAAATCCTTGATATATGTATTGTACCTGCACAGGTACAGATAAAGCTTTCATTGAACTCAAATCTTCTGCTACATGCGGCTGCAACTAAAACCTGAAAACTCATAAATGGACGAAGTTGTTTTGAGTTCATTAGGTTTTCCATGCAGCAGCATCAAACCTGGCGGATCCTTCACACCAGGTTCTCCTTTGCGTCTTCTATCTGTGCTGCAGTGATGGTGCTCAAGGCTGAGGAGTTGATTGTACAAGGATCAAACTCTGACTGCTGAAGAGAGAAGACAAGATGAGAGTCAAAGGGAAGAGTCATAAGTGGAATTTGGAAACAATTCGATTTTAAAATCTCTCTCTCACCTCCAGAGTCTCATTGGGTTCATTCAGCTCAGTGGTGGAGCTCAGACTGTCTTCTTCGTGAATCTAATCCAAAAACAAATAAATACATAAAGTTAAGTGAAAGCTCCAACTATCAAAGTGAATATTCAAAGCAGAACATCAGTGATGATTCATTTTTATTTGTTCACCTCACACAGCAAAGAAGAGCAAGAAGCAGTAGAATCAACATGACAAACACCAGAGTCAACGTGATGATCGTTTTGGTATTTGTTGATTTATCTAGAAACAGAGATAGACAGTCATGAGATATACAGTGCTGCACTTCACTAGAAGGGTTTGATTCATGAATCGGGTGATGCTGTCTGTTAACCAGCCAATAATTAGTGTCACAGAGAAACTAACCTGCCACAACAGTCAGATGTAAGGTGGAGTTATGACGTCCTCTTGTGTTCTGGGCTTCACAGTAATAATTCCCACTGTGTTCAGCTCTGATGTCAGTGATGGTGAAGATCTGTCCTGATGCTTTTGGTGAGTCTTCATCCTCCTTGTACCAGGTATAGTTAGCTGCTGGGTTAGCATCACTGCTACAGGTCAGAGTCACTGAACTGCCCTCCACTATCTCAGCAGAGGGACTCACTGACACAGAGGGAAGCTTTGGAGCATCTGCTGAAGATGTGTTCACAGAGATTATTCTTGGTTAAATGTGAGTTACTACAGAAGAATGTCTCGTTTAAATAGGAAACTGTCAGTAACTGTGTGTAGCTGCATTTTAGACTTTTTATGTGGTCTGAAAAATGCATGTGTGACAGTTTAAATAAAAAAAAAATCATAAAAATATGTCTGGAGCTGCCCAACGGATCACAGTGAATGTGAAGCAAGTAGAGCTGAACCAAGTAATTATGATCATTAAGTCCAGTGTCTAAGATTTAGAGGGATTTTGTGGTACCTTGCTGAAGATTGCAAATTGCAACCAGCAGAAACATCTCCAGGTTAAACCATCTCCTGAGGTGGTCTGAGTTCAGTGCACCTCAGACGATGGCCAGTGAAAAAACATGAATGGTCCTGTCTAGAGCCAGTGTTTGGTTTGTCCATTCTAGGCTACAGTAGAAACATGGCGGTGCAACATGGCAATCTCCATAGACGAGGACTTGCTCCCTATGTAAATATGAACGGCTCGTTTTAATTTAACAAAATTCGGAACAATTCTTATTTTAAGGTGATTATACACACACACACACACACACACACACACACACACAAAAAGCATACATATTATAGAATATCCCATTTCTGCCAATATATCCCCCGAATTTCTTCCACACAGGATGTTTAAATAAGCTGTTTACTCACATTTCACATTAACGATGATGTCATTGGACGTCCTCCTCCCCAGCTCGTTCTCTGCTGTGCAGTAATACCACCCAGAGTCAGAGGACTGGATGGAGCTGAAGACAAGTTGTGGTTCTTCACTGAGAGGTTTGAGGTTTACATTCTCCTTGTACCAGGTGTATTTAGCTGCTGGGTTAGCATCACTGCGACAGGTCAGAGTCACTGAACTGCCCTCCACTATCTCAGCAGAGGGACTCACTGACACAGAGGGAAGCTTTGGAGCATCTGCTGAAGATGTGTTAACAGAGATTATTCTTGGTTAAATGTGAGTTACTACAGAAGAACATGTCTCGTTTAAATAGGAAACTGTCAGTAACTGTGTGTAGCTGCATTTTAGACTTTTTATGTGGTCTGAAAAATGCATGTGTGACAGTTTGAATCGCAAAAATATGTCTGGAGCTGCCCAACGGATCACAGTGAATGTGAAGCAAGTAGAGCTGAACCAAGTAATTATGATCATTAAGTCCAGTGTCTAAGATTTAGAGGGATTTTGTGGTACCTTGCTGAAGATTGCAAATTGCAACCAGCAGAAACATCTCCATGTTACAATTCCTGCAGTGGTCATTGTTCAGGAGGTTCTTACCAGAAGCCAAATCATCGACAGAGGTCTCTTTCTCTCCAAAACAAATGGACATGGTGATTTAAACGAGTAAAACACTGAATAAAGTACTTTCACCTTTCACCAAAAATCAGTGTTTCTCCATCGCTGTTTGTCATGTCACAGGCAGGCTGCTTACCTAGCACCTGCTAATGTGTGCTCACCTATTTTCTCCGGTAACTAGGGGTGTTTTCACATATAGTCCTTTTTAAATGAACCGAACTCAGTCCTCTGAAAGTGGACCCAAAAGTGGACCAACACAAAAGGGACTCAGTACTTTTGTGTTCACATTGTCTAGTTAGTTAATTTGAAAGAGGACTCAGCTCTCTTTCTGGTCCATGTCAGCTCTGATGGGGCCTCAGTCCTCTTTCTGTTCACACTATAGCCTATATTTTTATTTTGTATTGATATAGTGTTTTTATACTTTGATGTGGCACTGCAGTGTGGTGATGAATTTAATATTGGAGGAAAACCTTAGCATTTCTGTGCGTTGTGAACAGTTACCGTTTGATGTTTTACTCGTTCCATATCTGGAGGAGTGCAGTTGTTTCACCGTCAGACCAAAGTACTCCTCGTCCACTGATCGTGCTGTCGTTACCTGTGGCCATGGTTCCGTTGTGTTTATTATGCGTCCCACTGAAATAGCCTGTGATCTGTCTACAGCAAGCCTGGAGGGCTACAATACAATAGCAAAAGGCAAAGTGGACCCAGAGCCTTTTGTGTTCACAAGGCACAGGTTAAGTGAACCGCACCGCAGACTTGAAGCGAACCGAGGTGGTCTGAGTTCGGTTCACTTCAGAGGGGTCTGAGTTCTCTTGGAGCATTCACAGTTGCGCAAAAAATGCTGTCACCGCTCTGAGTCCTCTTGGAAGGCTGAAAAGGACCAAATGTGAAAACAGCCTTAGTTTTGTTTTTACTTTGAGGTGCCCCTGCAGTGCCGTTATGAAGCCCCTTGCTTTCAGACCTTAGCATTTCTGTGTGCTGTAGACTGTTGCAGTTTAATGTAATCTATACTCCACATCTGGAGACGTGCAGTATCTGCTGTGGACCAAACTACTTCTCGTCCTGCGTCCTTGCAAGTGTTGCAGGCCAACATAATTTCATGTTTTTTTTAAATACAATGGCAAAGAGCAAAGCGAACCTGGAGCCCCCGGGTGTTCACAAGTCACAGGTTAAGTGAACCGCACAGTTGACTTGAAGCAGCTAAACTCAAACCATCTCCTGAGGTGGTCTGAGTTTGGTGCACCTCAGACGATGGCCAATGAAAAAACATGAATGGTCCTGTCTAGAGCCAGTGTTTGGTTTGTCCATTCTAGGCTACAGTAGAAACATGGCGGTGCAACATGGCGATCTCCATAGACGAGGACTTGCTCCCTATGTAAATATGAACGGCTCGTTTTAATTTAACAAAATTTGGAACAATTCTTATTTTAAGGTGATTATACACACACACACACACACACACACACACAAAAAGCATACATATTATAGAATATCCCATTTCTGCCAATATATCCCCCGAATTTCTTCCACACAGGATGTTTAAATAAGCTGTTTACTCACATTTCACATTAATGATGATGTCATTGGACGTCCTCCTCCCCAGCTCGTTCTCTGCTGTGCAGTAATACCACCCAGAGTCAGAGGACTGGATGGAGCTGAAGACAAGTTGTGGTTCTTCACTGGGAGGTTTGAGGTTTACATTCTCCTTGTACCAGGTGTATTTAGCTGCTGGGTTAGCATCACTGCGACAGGTCAGAGTCACTGAACTGCCCTCCACTATCTCAGCAGAGGGACTCACTGACACAGAGGAACGCTTTGGAGCATCTGGAGGAGAAATGAACATGCATTTGTTACAGATCAGATTCACCAAAATCACACAGTAACACAAACTGATCGGGGCGGTGGTCGACCAGCAGCACTTTTTGTGTCAATGGAGTCTGGTGGCTTTGATGAAAGCGTAGATGAGGAGCTGACACAGTTAATAGCTTCTCCGTCTGAACTCTAGTTTCCCACGCCTCCTTGCCACTGCCAACCTATCACCTGTCGAAACATTCCCCGCTCCTGCCTGTCCACCATGCCCACCTCATCAAGTCAACTCAGGTCACCTGTTTCTGATTACAATATCTATACTCCAGCCTCTAAAACTCTCACTGACTTGATTTTTTGTGATATTTGCATGAGGCATTAAACATTTTGATTCCTAAATTTTCACAGCTGCTGCATCATCAACTGTTTGCAAATGTCACTGTCCAGTTTCATATTATTTTACTCAGCCTCTTTTCTACTCTAGCTCATCTACCGGTGGTACTTAAGCTTTTGCTGTATCTACATTAATATCTACAGAACTCTGGTGAAGTTACATCTGAAATTGTAATTGTATTGTAATGTCAGTGTGTATTCATGTTTTAGTCCTGATAAGGTGGAGTAAACTTACACACTGAAGGAGAGGGCAACTGCTCATATCCTTGCAAAGCACAGGAGATGATGTGTCCAAGATGAAACAAGTCTTTATAAGAAGCTGTCTGCACCTTCGTCAGTCTCTCTCCACTCTTGAACCAGACGTAGGAAAGACGACCAGCTGGACTGCAGCTGCTGTGACACTTCAGCTCTGCCTCAATATAAGACTGCCCGACTGTTATTCTGGTCACCTGCACCTGGAGAGCTGGATATGAGAACGAGAAACAGAATTATGTAACTGGGTTTAAAAAAAAATACTGATAAAAGAACAGACACGTCAACACCCACAGTGGTGAACAATTAGTATTTACAGAACAGTAATTACACAAACTGATCATTATCAACACGTTCATTGTCTTTAAATGTAGCCTTGGTGTATTTACATCGGTTCCACGTCAGAGATTCACAGTAGGTTTCAAACAAAAAAGCATTACCTGTGACAGACAACGTGACTCCAGGTAAGGCAGCAAATCTCCCATCTGTTTGATTTGTGATTAACATGAACTTGTACACAGCTGTGTCGCTCTCTCTCAGGTCTGTGATTGTCAGAGTGCAGTCTGTCTCTTCACAGTGATACTGCACACGACCTGCATACTCTGAGTCTGTTGTCAGATCCAAAGGTTCATTTCCATTCATTCGAGTGAACCAGAGTGTTTCCACTGTAACATCTTGGACGTTTAGTTTGGATGGGTATGTGTAGCTGCAGTGTATTTCCACTGTTGATCCTTTTACAGCACAGATCTCAGTAGAGCTGTAAGTCATTTCCCAGCCATCCTGACCCTGTATCACTGTAAAACAGAGCACATCAGGGACTGCGAAGCGTTTGAGAAGATTCCCTGCTCTCTGCAGTTCATTATGCATCATGTATAATTATGCTGATGACAAAGTTTATAACTTTGGTTTGCTAAACATAGATAACATAGAAATAAACTTTTTTTTAAACAATCTTTAAACACCAGTCTCACGTATAAGCTTGGACAACATTCACATTTGTTCTAAGAAGTAGTAGCAGTTAACTATAATGATCAACCACAGCACATACGAAACATACACAGTGTAAATATACAGTACGTGTACCTGACACAGAGAGAAGGAAGACAACAAGTCCAGCTGCTGCTGCTTTGAAACTCATGGCTGGTCCTCTCCTCTGTCTGCAATGAAACACATCAGCAGGTAAATAACATACCTAAGAAATATTTTATTCCTATAAACAAACTGATCGATATTAATATTTATTTCAAACATGTAAAATAAAGACATGAACATACAAACAAGCAGGCAGACAAAGAAAGTAATATTTACAAATAATAATAAGTATTTGGGCGGAAGTATAAAATCCCACCCTTTCTCCATAATTCATTGAGTGAAGTGAAACAAACAGCTTCCTTATACAGAATAAACCTATACTTAAGACTTTTGTCTAGCAAAAATATCCAATGTATAATATATAACAGTAAATACCAAATATCTATCTTATATCTATAATATAATAATATATTGTAATATAATATCAATCTTACAAAAAGGCTTAGGATATGATATATATATGAATATATAGATATAATACCAATTGTATTTGCCTCACAAAAACATACAA